AAAGTTGTGTGCAATTTTGTTATTGTTCAGAAGTCGTGAGTGGAAAGTTGTGTGCAATTTTGTTATTGTTCAGAAGTCGTGAGTGGAAAGTTGTGTACAATTTTGTTATTGTTCTTTTTACAAGTACAATGGGAGGGTTATTCAGACCAAAGGTCTCCCCGTGTCCGAGTCTGCTCCCACGGTAAACAAAAGCCAGCTCACCTGGACTTCTCCTTCCTCGTGGTCAGTTTGGAGGAACGTCCAAAATGTCCGCATCGTTCTTTCCACATGGACCAAGACGTCGGCTCATCAAACGTAGATTGTGCCGGCGGTTTGAAAGCCTTTTTGCGAAACTGCTTGGGAAATATGCACACACAATAATTCCTCCGTCATTTGGGATCACTTCTGACCGCACGCCTTGCCTTGATGGCCACAGCCGGCAGTGACTGAGTAGCCGAAATATTACAACACGAACACACACACACACGCGGCCGTCAACTCTCTCATAAATCGTGGCGCATGTTTTTCTACACGCCCACCGTGAGCTCAGCGGTGTGTCGCTGTCCCAAGCTACTCACGTCAATAATGCTGCGCCTTACCCCCCCCCCCCCCCCCAAAAAAAAAAAAAAAAAAAAAACCTTTGCGTTCCAGTTGTTTTTGTTTTTTGTTTGTTTGTTGTTGTTTGTTTTTGGAAGAGGCTAACCGTACTTAATAATGATGGCTAGACTGACAAAAAGCAAAAAATAGTCCTGCTGAATTGTAAATAAATTTTTAGTTAGCAATACTTAAAGTATTTTTGTATTTGAGACGAAACCAAAAGGCGCCCTACTGACATGCATGTATTTTAAACCTGAATAATTACTAGATCTAATGAGGCCTGTGTACTCAACGGGTTTTGGTCAATAGGGCCCAACCTAAGTACGGCTAGACTGGCAGGCTGGCCACTTCGTTTGTTTTTTTACGTCTTTCTCCGTACGGCGCTTCACTGTTGACATGAGACATGAGTTGCTGCATATATACATGGCACGTAGAGATAGAGAGCGCACAATACGGTGCTGTACCGTGTGAGTGGAAAAACACAAGACAATACGGTGCTGTACCGTGTGAGTGGAAAAACACAAGACAATACGGTGCTGTACCGTGTGAGTGGAAAAACACAACACATCCTGGTAGTTTCCCTCTTGCTAAGAACAATGCTGTTGTTCCAGTAAACAAAGACGATCTCATTGTCTCTCCCGGCGACAGTCCAGTTTGTGTGGCCAGATTGTCGCGTGGACAGACGCCCCCTCCCCCTCCCTCATCTCCCCATCATCTCTCCTCCCCCCCCCCCCTCCCCTCACTGAGGCCCCCGAGTGTGTTCCTCCTTGAGAGAGATGACAACCAAGTCGTTGAGTGTTCTCTCCAGGGTGCAGGGCCGGGCCAATGACCGACAGGACACGCAGCCAGATGCTAGCTGCTTAAGGTCAACACTGCGCTTATCCTACAAGTTGGCAATTCCAGTTTTTGGTGCGGAATTTTAGAATGTTATCTCTTCTCATTAAAAAACAAATAATCGTTACGGTGCGCGCACTGTTGGATGTAGGAGAGAGAGAGAGAGAGAGAGAGAGAGAGAGAGAGAGAGAGAGAGAGAGAGAGACAGACAGACAGACAGACAGACAGACAGACAGACAGACAGACAGACAGACAGACAGACAGACAGACAGACGGACAGACAGACAGACAGACAGACAGACAGACAGACAGACAGACAGACAGACAGTCAGACAGAGAGAGTGATGATTGATAACATGAGGAATCCCCACTAGACATTTGTACAAAGTCCCAGTCCACACACAGAGACATTTGTACAAAGTCCCAGTCCACACACACACACAGAGACATTTGTACAAAGTCCCAGTCCACACACACACAGAGACATTTGTACAAAGTCCCAGCACACAGAGACATTTGTACAAAGTCCCAGTCCACACACAGAGAGACATTTGTACAAAGTCCCAGCACACAGAGACATTTGTACAAAGTCCCAGTCCACACACACACAGAGACATTTGTACAAAGTCCCAGTCCAGCACACAGAGACATTTGTACAAAGTCCCAGTCCAGCACACAGAGACATTTGTACAAAGTCCCAGTCCACACACAGAGACATTTGTACAAAGTCCCAGTCCACACACAGAGACATTTGTACAAAGTCCCAGTCCACAGAGACATTTGTACAAAGTCCCAGTCCAGCACACAAACTCCCACTAAGCCCAGCTGTACACAACTCTTCTCCATTCACGATACAAATGACACCAGAGGAAACGAGGACATAACGGAATTCATTTTCAGATTTGTAATTTCGTTAATGACCTGTACAAAAGTAGTAGTCACACCACCTGATCACCAGACATTTGTTGTAGCCACACCACGTGATCACCAGACATTTGTTGTAGTCACACCACGTGATCACCAGACACATTTACCACGTGCCACAAGTTCAGCGGCTCCACTCACCAGACACATTTACCACGA